CAGCCTTTCCTGGGAGGGGAGACGTCTGGAGAATCGTGGCGGCCTCTTCTGGGAGGGGAGGCGTCTGGAGAATCGTGGCGGCCTCTTCTGGGAGGGGAAATGTCTGGAGAATCATGTCGGGCCTTTTTGACAGGAGGATCATGTCTACTTTTCTTTGTTGACCACTCTGGCGAGTCATGGCAACTTCTGTTTGATGTCACAGACTCTGGATATTGATGTCCTTTTCCTTCCTCTGTGTCTTTATCTTCATCAGCTATTAGAAGACAGTCACAGTAATTAATGATCTTGTTTACTACATAGACACAGGTTCTCTTTGTTTCTTTCAAAAATGCAATTTACCCCCAACCACTTTCCATCTGTTGCCTGTTCTGAAAGCCTCCAGCTGTTTCACTTCCTCTGGTCGATCGTCAATTACCTCAGCAATCTGAGTAGGCACACAGGAGATTATGGTTCATGACAAGGTTTGGTAATATGAATTTGCCTTCCAGTATTGTTTTTACCATACCATCTATGCCTTGGTATTACCTGCAACAACATGCATTACAGCAATGTTGTAAATCAATGAGGTGAACAGACTATGTTAAAGCAATACTGGATATGATTTTTGTATCATGTGGTGATGCATCTTGATTTTTCCGAAAAATAACAATATCAGTATTCGAGGTCTGTACCCATATCGCCCACTCCTTTGAAATATGTTTGTATTTCACTGGCGTTTATTCCTGATTTAAATTAAGACACGCCATACATAAGACGGCTCTATTTTAACGTATTACAAAACATTTAAGAACTCCACCAATTAATGTGTGCATGAATGAGAAATCAAGGAGATAAGAAAGTGAATAAACGGACTCCAGCTAAGCTAAGCTAATGTAGGTTCATACCACTGGCGCTTCGTCTTCATCCTCTTCAATATCATTCTCCTCCTTCACCATCTGTTTCCAGTCTATGTCATCATCTACAATTTTAAGTCTTGAATGAGATAAGGACAATATGTTAAGTAAACACACACTGTTTTACTCAAAACCTGGTGTTTTAGTGTTCAAGGCAGTGAGCGTTGCCAAACAGCAACACAGACCTCAACTAACTAGCGTTAGTTTCACGGCTAAGAAACACACAATCTGCCTGGAAAGAACTTGGCTAAAACGATCCAACGGTCTCACCCTTTCTCGGGAACCTTCTGCCGTTTCTTTTTAAGTTTCCCCTTTGATTTCTTGACATCTTCACGAGTGGATAAATACCGTTTTAGGTACTCGGCTTTAGATAGCTCTGGTCCCTTGCTACTACTATTGAAAGTAGCCATTATGTTGTCGGAAACTACGGATCGCAGTGAGGGTCATGATAAACATCCATTTCCCTGAACTATCAACTTTGCCAATTTTAACAGGCTACGTGAAAGGAATAATAAAACTATTGTTTGTCTACGAGTAAAATTGATAAGACCTCACGTGAATAGTTTTGTCTTTTTGAAGTTAATTGTTAATGTGATGAGCAAATGCGGGTGTATTTGAAACTAAAATATTTATCTTCATTTATGTTATAAAAGGGATGTTGACAGCACCAATGAATCAAAGTAGACTCAATGTGGCTTTTTGGACAAGGATAACCAAAACAAGATACTTTAATGCCAAAGTGAAAACAGATCTCTGAAATACTGAAATAATGCTAAATAAATACTTGAATTTAGTAAATGCACCTTTGGGAGCAGTCTGTGTGGACAAGCCTCTGCATTTGGCTTTGTGAGTGAGCAGCCCTTTTACAAGCCAAGCCACAACTTCTAGATTTGATTAGATTTGATTGACATAGGGCACTGACTCAGCCATCTCAAGTTGTTAATGCTGGTGTTTTTAATCCATTCCTGTGAGACTTTCTCAGGTGGCAGTAGTTTTCTTTTTCTGCTATAACTCTAACATAGCACCTGGCCAAATGTTGTCTCCAAACTCTCTCCAATCTTGAAGCCTGTAACTCCATCAGAGTCATCACAGGTCTCATGGTTGACCCCACCCCACCAGTCTTCTTGCACACTCACTTAGTTTTTGAGGACAGCTGACTCACAGCTCTGTCATTCTCTGTCCATTTCTTATAGATTATCTTACTGATAAGTATAGTGTTACATCACTTGGAACATTTTCTTGCAACCAACCTTCACAGTGTTCTTTTGTGATTATGATGGAGGTTTTGCCACAATACTACCTTGCCAAATCAAAAACCAGCAGACATTTTATCCACAGCATACATTTTGACAAGTCACAGCAGGAAAAGCACATGGTTAACTAAAAACATTAACAATGGCTGTACATCACTTTGTTCTGCCAGTTCCACAGCCCTCCCTTCTGTTGTTGTGCACACTGGCTTAATGGCTTGGCTTGCTGGAAATCTTAAATGGAAAAGAGCCATCTTTAATGTAATTAAAGTCTGAGACAAGGCAAAAATGTCTGCTGTGAAAAGGGTCTGTTCATTGCACCAGTGATGATTTAGGTGTGTCCTCCTAAAGCTGGTGAATAATTAAATTAGAATCCTTTGCATAGATGTTTTAACTTTGACATGGTCTTTTTAGTTGATCACTAACAAAAAAGGTCGCATACAATTTTCTTTGATTCAATGTAAAATAATAAAACATAACTTCCAAGGGGTGTGTATGCTTTATTATGTGCACTATAGATCACATTATGAACTGCGCAACTTACTGATGTACTATAAAGCATCCATTAAATGTGCAATTCTAATGATCCAACACATTAACTGCAATTATTTATATATAGTAAGCTGCACTTTGGTTCAACATAATGGAGCATATGTGCATGACATAACATTAAAAAGCAGTTCAATTTCCTGTGGGACCTTATCATTCCTATCTGGGTCCCAGTTCTGCCTCATGAACATTGATTTCACAACATGACAACATCTGGCTTTAATAGCACCCCTTTATTGAAAACAAATGCTGCAGCTTGCAAAGTAATATTTACACAACAAGTTACTTCGTGCCATTGTACGCATAACAATGCAGTGTGTGCATCTGCAGCAAAAAGCACAGCTATAAACATTTCTGCTGAGTCATCTGCATTCTGTCTCATCAAAGTGCATTATGAAAACCTTTTAATACCGTTTCAGTGATTTTGGGAAGAAAACACAAGAAGGAGATACAGAGGTGCAAGCTGTTAACAACATCTTTTCAACATGTGGTATTGTGGGGATGTTTGTGGCTGCGAACAGATGTGTAGGCGTCATTACATGTGTGTGTCAGCACAGGCCTGTTTCTTTCTTTAGCTGTGTGAGTGATAGAAGAAAATCAGCAGGCAAAAGATCCAGGAGCAGGAGCTCTTCACTAACAGGCTTACAGCTGAACACTTGACAAGTTTCTCTGGAGAGGAAGAAAAGCAGAGTGCAAAGAGTTGAAAAAAAGAAAATAAATCTCCACACTCATTTAATCTCAAGCTCACTTCATTGAATCCACACACACAATCAGTCCACCTACCTTTCTCTACACTGACACTGGCAGTCTGCGCATTTATTTTGCACATGTAGGTGGTGCTGCCTTTGAGTTTGTCTTTGAAATCCTCCAGGATCATTCTGTAGCCTTTGGGCTCCAGCTCCACCACATAGCTTTTGCCTTGGAACCGGGTCTCTGCCGATGAACCGGACACATTAGTATTAATGACGAACTCTTTGCCTTCAGTGGCCAAAGAGAAGTGATAGCTGCTGATCTTGTTTGGTGTGGGCGGGATCCGACAGTCTACTCTCAGGTCTGTATCGTTGACACACACTGAGATCTGATCACACTTTGCTGGGATCAGAAACACTGGTGCAAAAGAGAATGAATAAGAACAGAGAGATATGTTTAGTTTAAAGCTTTAGTTCAGACCCCCCCCCCCCCCACACACACACACACACACACACACACAGCAGTCTCCATATGCCAGAACAAAAACATTTCTTAGATTCTCACCTCCCAGCACTCCGTACGCGAACAGAGACTTGAGCATGATGGATAAGCACCCATCCAACTTTTTAGGAAAAAGAAAGAAGGTGTGAGACAGAATAACAAATTAGGAGGAGGATCATGAAAAAATACAATGTGACCACTCTGTGGTCTCACAGTGACATGCCAAATTGAGTTTTGAGCCATTTCTGCTTCTGCGCTCTCTTCTGAGGGAGGTCATGACATCATTCATAGTCGAGAGGCAATAAAGGACAAAAAGATACCAAGGGGAGCTAACTGATAATACAAAATGATTCCTTTTATGCAGCTAACATGTTATATTGAGTTACAAGCTGATAAGTTTGAGATGCTCTGTCCTAATTTGCTATCAATGCCTTCTTTTGCCTCCATAATGTGACTAGAGTCCACCTGTGGCCAAAACTATTGACTGGACATGATTTGAAGTTAAAAATGACATAGATGCCTTTTTTCCTTTCCCTGTTAGTTCCTGTTTGCTACTTCATAACATTTTTCCAATGCCCTTGACACACTCGTGTCTTTAAGCCTAAGCCTGCTATTACATAATTATTATTTAATGTTAATTTAGAGACTGATGCTTATGTATCTCTGCACATACATTTTTTGTTGTTGTTTTTTTTCATGCCATGCGTACCTACATAGCATATTCTGTTTCAGCCTGATATGACCCTTGTACTCATATCTATTCCCTGAGCTGCAGCTCAACATCTTTGAGAAGTCTTACCTCTTGTCTGCCTACTGGATGATGTAGCAGCTCTTGTCTGCTGCTCTTGTCTGGATGGTGAATAAACAGCTGGTGGTTGTTGCCTCAGTGTACAGCACTGCAGAGCATCACACTTCTGAGGCAAACTAGGGGCAATACTGAGAGGTGGAGACAGAGTGGGAGGGATGAAGGTGGACTGGAGAGCGCTGATTCGTCTTTCTGCTCTGCAGTGCCTGATGGAGGACACCAGACAGACAGGCAGGCTGAGGCAAAAATCAGTTAGCGTCATCGCTTTACTGGCAGGGTGCTATGACCTTGTTTCCTTTCCTCTTTGGTTCTCCTCTCAGCTTTGTCACATTGTCAAAGCTATCCTGTCCTTATTTGCCTTGTGTGTGTTGGAGTCTCCATGGGTCTTTTAAAGCTGCTCTAAATATATTATGAATGATGGGATTAGAGTTACCTTTTATTATGCTAAACAATATTAAACAGTATCTCTAGGGAAAATATTAATTACCTTTTATTATGCTAAACAATATTAAACAGTATCTCTAGGGAAAATATTAATTACCTTTTATTATGCTAAACAATATTAAACAGTATCTCACTACTTGCACAGAATAAATGTATGCCATCTCAGGATGACTATGTGAACCACAGAAAGTTCTAGCACTGTCATACCAAATGGCACATGTAAAAAAGCTCAGTGCCTCCACCTAAAGGCCAATAAAAGGAATTTCACCAGGCAAATTGGTTGCAAATTTATAGCTTGCAGTTTAGTGGTTGACCAAAACTACTGTGACACTATAGTTTCAAAATATTAAAGTTTTCTGCATTGTTCAATGTTCACCTTTTTTTTTAATATTAAAGCTATATATGCTTCTACAGAATAGATCAAATATATAATATATAAATACAACTCCAAAGTCGTGTGCTGCTCTAAGAGAGGAGAGGACCCAAATCAAATAACGTATTAAACCATGAGCACAAGTTAAATAATTCAAGATCACAAATTACTTAGTCATGCTCACAAATTAGTTTTTGTCTCATGACAGCTAGCAAGCTCCTTAATTATCCATTTACTGTTCCAAGAAAAAGTATCAGCATGTTTGCACTTTCCTGGTTTTCTGTATAAATTGGATTGGATATGATCGGATCTTCACCAAAGTCCCAAATATCAACAAACACAATATTTCTAAACTGACTCAACACAAACAGTCGTGACTGTTCATCTCTTTACTGACCAATTCATACAGAAATCCAGGAAACCACAAACAGTGCCATTACTTTTTCTTGTATTTTTTATTTATAAGTCAATCAGGTTAGGGAACAAATCTCAGTTTCATTAGCGGGTGGGGGCACCAGGACCGCTATCATTACTCATCTGTCTGGGCCCCTCTGTTTATTGACTCTGCTGTTTAAAATGTGGAGATAGGCTATCTCGGAAATAATCTGCCCACGCGTTAAGCTGCTTTATCCCCAACAAGCCTTAGCCGGACAGAGACTACTGCAGCTCTGTTACCAGTCACAGGAAAATCGGAATTACAGTGGGGAAAAAAAGTGACACAAGGCGCGGAGACGAGTTTGAGAGGTGTTTTCAGGCTGACGAGAGTCAGTGAGGAGCTGGGGGCGTCGCGCACATGGAGACCTAACCGGACTGGGTCACACGGTGCTGACGCTGACCCTGCTGTCGTGTGTTCAACCCGGGAGGCAGGAGGCAGAAAAGAAACGCACGCTGGGAATTTAACCACATCAAGAAGCTGGCAACGAAAAACTGGTTTGGGCATGGAAAACACCGGATTCTGGGTATTCCTGATAACCTGCTTTATTCCAGGTAGGCTTCTCTGCTGTGCTTGGCACCTGTTAAAAACAGTGATGTGACACTGGTGATGTAAATCCAGGTGAAAGGCAACAGCAGTCACAAAGAACTATTTACAGACAGAGGGAAGCGGCTGAAAGTAAGACTGTGCAACAAATCAGTATTAGGAGCATGTGCCTAACAGTATGCTCTTTCAGTCTTCAGTAGACATAAACCCACCTAAATTCTCAGACAAAAACTACCTGGAAATCAGTAGTGAAATCATAAAATATTACTCATAGAACCAAATCCTCTTTATATTTACCAACGTCACATTCAACCGTCCATATCCTATAGAAGCATGGCAGTTCAAACATGTTTTTAATTTTAGTCTATTATTTTTCATAAATGATTTTGTATTTATGAATATACGGGGGCAATAGTGTATATTCTGTTATGTCTGTTTTACACCTGTGCTAAAGGTTTATCACCCTCATTATATCATCGTTTTTGTTTATGTACAGGCAGTAAAGGTTTTCACTGTTAAGGCTTCTAACTCATCCTCTATAAAGGTTTTCCAAACAAAAAATAACAACACTTTGTGAAAAATCCCGTTGGATGGTTGTCATTGCTGCAGTTACAAATATTAGTAAGATTTTTCATTACCTGGCAACCCAGGATTCTTATTAATTGCTAATAAATGATTTATAATACTCAGCAATAAGGGTTGAGTGATTGAATAAATTAGTCCACAATAGATATAGTAGGATATAGCTGTTTTCACTAATGCTTGTTGTTATATATATATCGCACAGCTTTATCTTCATTCAGTGTGACTTTTGACAGCTTCTCTCACATTCAATCTAAATGACATCTCTGAAACTAATTTGCTATTAATTGATTTCCCTTAGCTCTATGGGTCATATACCAATCAATGCAGAATTTAAGTCTGACAATTTCAACAAGCTGATGTATTTTTCAGTCAGGCCAAGCTTCGCTGTGTCTAACTGAACCGAGCTGCTGTCAGCAGGTGCACTGTTGTACTCATCTGCTTCACCTGGAGATGGCATCTCCACATCTTACCGTGTTGTGTGTCTGTTTGAATGAATGGACTAACTCTTACCTCATTGTAACAGGTGCAGCGGTGTATTCACACTAAGCCGGGGCCAAACATACAGCTGGCATCAGAGTCGTGGCCATGTAATAAAAAGGGAGGTGGCCATGTTGTGCATATTACATAATGACAAAAGCAATTGTGTCGAGCTGCTCTGACATTTGCTGTGATTGCTTTTTTCACTCAGTCAGTGGCAAACTCCCCTGTGCCAGTTGAGCAATAATTTGGTGGTGTGCATACATGTGTATCTGTTACTAGTGGGTGTGAGGCCACACCATGTGTGTGAGATTGATATGCTGAAGGACAGAGCAGTGGATTAGAACTGCACACAGAACAGAAGGTGTGTAACAACATGACCGCTACCAGCTCCCAGCCTGCTCACTCTTGTTGTAGTGTTTCTGTCTTCTCCTGGCTGTTGCAGACGCTGAGCACATCTACAGGTCTGTACACCTCTGTAGTGTACCCCTAGGTTGAGGCGAGCACTGATATGTTTTCCACCTTTGCATACTGTAAAAGTTTGCAATCCTCCTGACAGACTGACAGACATCTTCGTGAAGTTTAGCATAATCCACTGTCCACAGCTGGAACACACAGACACTACCCTACAAAAATAATCCAGCACAAACACACAGGCCTTCTGTCCTCTTCTTCTTTTGTGTGTCTCTTTTGTGTACCTCTCCAAAGTCAGCCAATTTGAAGCCCCCTTTCCCCCCCTCAGTGTCTCTCTGTTAGCCAATCATCCACCACAAACATTTTCTTGATTTCTTTTCATCTTGTCGCCCTCTTGGGTTTATATTTTCCTCTCATCTCAATAAACAGAGATGCAGCAGTGACAGTCATCATAATCCTGTGAGCTGCACACTGAACACCAGCCAAACACGTACACATGCAGCAACCCAATCTGCAACAATGAGTGATTATATTTGCTGGCATGCTTTGAAATCTATTGAGAGCCACCATGCAAAATGACAGTCTAGCCACAGTAGTGGTATACAGTATAAATGAGTTGAACCTCTGCCACCCATAGTTATAAACCCATAGGTTTTAGTTCAACCATTGTGTGTCTGTTCTTGTAAATCACAAGGCCAGAGACACAAACACAGTGTGTAATCCCAGGTCAATCACAGATTTGATGGCCTAAAGATTAAACAGTGACTCTGCCCTCTCCATTATATCTCCCTCTGTTTTTCAGTTTCTCATGTGTTGCATGAAGTCCAGTTTTTAGTATCGGTGGCCTTCTTATAAGTGTGACAAGCTGAAGGAAAATGTGGTTTGTTTAATTTAATGTGATTAACAAACTGTTAATAACAGGACCACAGCAGACAATGTCAGCCTCATATATGAGGCATACTTGTACATATTAGTAATACTGATGTGACAGCTCTGTGCTCTTCCTATTGCTCTCTTTTGCAGCTATGTATTGAATTAGGCCAGACATATTGTACCATTAAACTGATATTATGTCTATTTTAAAAGTAATGGCTATGCTTACAAACATAAATTCATTCAAACCACCACAGTTCAACTTCAGAAATCCCACATCTTTTTCCCAGCAGCTCACAGCTGTACCTGCTCCTGTGTCTCTGTTGAACTCATACAGACAAGAAAAATGAAAAATAGTTTGTCACTTAATGATTGCGATGAAGAAAGATGGATCCATTCACAAGCCAAAAGCCCAGCACCCTGCTGTGATACACCTGCTGTTCTCACACACTGCACATTCAAGTGTGAAACAATATTGCCATTGTTTTGTTGCATTCCCATGGTCTCTCTTGTCTGTGTGCTACTGTTTATAGATTATTGTCAGGAGGACTGGTGAGGTCATTTCCTATAGTCTAAACAACAGAAGAATGTGAATGGACATAGCAGAAAAGAGGAAGCTGGGAGAGATGTTGGGCAAACGAGATAAGTGTATATGTGCATATGATCACTATGCGTGAACTTGCAACCGGAATAGTTAACAAAGCCTCTCTGTATTCACAAAGTATGTTTTTCTATGCTCTCATCAAATAAACACCTTGTGTATGTGCATAGAGTGTGGCTGAGGGACTATTAACACACCCCAGACTTCCTCTCAGAAGGCATCAGAAGTATGCCTGTTTGCTTTCTTGCTGAAAGTTAGATGAGAAGACTGATACTACTCTGTTACCTGTGAGGTAATTATGAAGCTAGAGTTGCCAGTAGGCAAGTTTTGTTACCTTTGGACCATGGGCACAGCCAGGAGGTGGCCGGGTGTGTCACCAGCCACCCCAGAATCTGATCGACCATTCCCTGGTGTCACCCCTACCAGAGTCAAAATGTAATGCTTTTCAGAGTATTAATAATAATAAAAAAAGAAAATCAATGAATAACTGATACAGATTAAATTAGCTTTATTTTATGCCATGGATGCATGTGCATTCATTTGTCCAATTGTGTTGTCATTTCTCCAATGGTGTGCCCACGCGTGTGTGTGTGATGGCACTGTCTAGCAGCGATGCCCATGGCTAGGAGTAAATAATAATAATTTAGCTAATTAAGCACTACGCTGTGTTATGTACTAATTAGATTCTTAATAACGTATGGTTTATTGTTTCATAGAACATGTATAAACAATATGACTCCTACTAGGCATTTAGTATTATAATTAACATTTTAAATAACATTAAAGATTAATACTGGTTGAGAGTCCAGCCTCTCTCAAGGAGTAAAGTTCCAGAGCCCAAGCTGTGCGTGGAGGTGAGCCCGACTATATCTAGCCGGTACCTCTCAACCTCCTGCACAAGCTCGGGCTCCTTCCCCACTAGCGAGGTGACATTCCATGTCCCCAGGGCTAGTCTCCGTGTCCAGAGATCGGGTCGTCGTCGTCGGGTCCCTGCCTTCGACTGCTGCCCGATCCACTGTGCACCAGCCCCTTACGAATCCTCCTGCAGGGGGTGGGCCCACGGGAGGACGTCCCCGCGTCGTTGAAATTCATCTTTCTATAACTGCAGACTTCACACTTAAGCACTATGGTCCAGGAAGATCACACATACAAAATTCCCCATCTCTGTCTCAATAGCTGAAGCTCTCTAATGCATCCCAAAGGAACACTCAGCTTTCAATTACCTCCAATAACAGCACTTATCAGAGCCCTCAGCTTTCCCCAGAGACTTGGGCCTTGATGCCTGTGCTCAGTGGCCCAGGACAGGGGCATTCATCACGGGGCGGAGTAACAGCTGGGGACTGAGGAAGAGGCACGCGTCAAACCCCTCTGGGACTACACTGGGCCAGCATCACATAGCCAGATGGCGCTGGGTGGAGTGGGAAAGGGGTGGGGGACATTAGGGCGTATCACATCCTCACTTTAACTCCACTTCAATATATATGTAAAATATAGGCATATACCAATATATACACAATGTTCAAGAAAAGGCATAAGCCTTGTGTATTCTGGGTATAGGGTAACACTGTAATAATGTCTGATTCACATCCCCTTTCTCACTGCAGTAGGGTGGGTGAAATTTGGCTGCTTGATTGTGCTCTGCCCATTAACCAGCTCCCTCTTTAATGGTCCACATGTTGAAGGGGAGGGGCAGTAAATCCTGTCCCCTGCCCTTGCTCTGCGGTGCCTCTGTGGAGACTTGTTTACGGGTACTGAAGAGTGCAAAAACATGATGAAAAAGTAGCTGAGATTTACAAGGCCTCTCCTGACAGCCAGGAAAAGGAGAAAATTAAACCAGAGAACATTAAACAGGCACCCATTACAGGGCTGCTCCGACACCAATAATAACCATCATTGTGTCCCGTCAGTCCGAGGTACATGACATGATTGCAAAGCCTGTCGCTCTGCACCCATGACAGCTAACATCTTTATACCAGCCAGATTACATGCTTGTGCGGGGTTAAAGAAGTCAGGGAGATTAGACAATTCTTTCACAAAATAAACTGGCATTATCTGGTCTATGCAAATATAACACAAGCACAAAATAGAGATGCTTCCTGTGGCCTGTATTTAAGAGTCTTTTCTGTACTTTTGTGACTCCTCTGTAGATATCTGTGCATTATATCACAGGTCAAAGTCTTTCCTGGATTCTGATAATCTCTTTAGATAATTAAAAAGTTTCTAATTGTGTATCTCTCAAATTTTATCAAAAACATTCAAAACATTGTATGATATAATTTGATTCGTATGTACACGCCATCTTTATGGACATTTTTAGAAAGCAGTACACTCATTATCATCTGAAAGGGCCACAATCCAAGATTTCTACTGCTCACTGTCTGCATCCGCATCTCTTTAGGCCCTTTAACTGACTTGAACATATATATTTATACATTCCATCTCAGTAAGAAGAGTGCTATACCATAATTCTTCACTGTTTGTGTGCTTTGAAAACGTTTTTTTTTTCTCCTTGGAAAATATGAGCACTTAGCTACATCTCTCTAATCCACACTCCAAAAAGATTATGACAATGGAGGCAGTGGGGACTGGATTAAAAACTAGATTTTGCATACAATCAAATCCTTGAGCACTTGTTGTATGGGCTCCTGCAGGCATACCCTTGTTTTCTTACCTTTTCAAATTTAATAAGATTGACTTAAATCCATTCTTTTAAGTTAATTATTTAACGCTTGACAGGAACGATAAATGATTCTAAATAGTAAACGTTCCTACTTCTACATGATCTATTCTGTCTACGGGTAAAAACATACAAGCCTATATGCAGTCAAATTGTTTGGGTATTTATGTGAAAGCACACACGTCTGCTGTGTAATCCACAACCTCGGTTTAAAACAAGCCTTGAGCATCATCTAGTGGTAACTAACTGACTCATGGCAAACTTTGTTTTACAGCTATTATTTGTGCATTTTTACATTTGTCACTTAAATTATTAATCACTGTTTGATCAAAAAAGGCAAAAAAACTCAAATGTTTCATGTACAGTACTCACACTCCTCTAAGCCCAGCTGGTAAGCGAGGTTCTGAAGTCCTTTGATCTTCTCCATCAGATTGGCTGTAGTCAAGACATGCACAAACAAATACACACTATATTTCAGCAAAAACATTTTGAAATTGTGAGCTGTCCATATGCACAACACCAAATGGACCATAAATTCTCTGGTGGAGATGGACTTTAATATCCTAATGCTGTAATCTACTCACACTGCTGGCCGCCTCCTCCTCCTGTGTGACCCACGCACACACTCACAGTGCTTTATAAAGTTGCTCATCCAATACAGTACTACTAGACTAGAATATGGATGGGTCGATCAATATGCCTCCATTTAGAACATGGAAATATTGGATTAGATAATGAACCACAAGCTATGGCGCCTCATTCTGCCATTAAAAAGGACAATATTTCAAGCTTGGGAACCCCCCTGGATATGAGTTACATTCTCTATTGAATTCAGTTTCCTTCCGTTGTGGTTTTAAATGGTTCCTACTTCACAAAAGTTACCATCTGATATAAAGTTTGTAGAGGAAATGAATGATGCCTTTTCCAAATCAGATTTAACTAAATCCAAGGCTTGCTTTACAACAAGGGATATCAATCATAAAAGATTTCTCTGTGTGTATAGTATGTGAATGAGAGCAGCCACTGTTGTGAGTTGTGTGCTATCACTGTTCTCTATCCTGCATAATATTATTCATTAACCCTCTAGATTAAATACAGTGTTACTTGCTATATATATTTCACAAACATGAGCAACTCAGGAAGTGGATTTGCTAAAGGGGACCAGTAAGTCAATGGGAACCAAGCAAATCATACTTAGCTATAGCTCACTAATCCACCAGCTTTGATCTCGACTCACCTGTCCTACAGTTAAAATCAATGTATTATTTTTAATAGCTCAGTTCACCTCATAAGCTGGACACACTGTGCTGACTGTAAGCATGTTAGGGCATGGCACTCCGATGCTTCCAACATGTATGCATTTGTAGGTAAGAGTGTAATGTCTTTGTTGTTGCTGTGTTACTCCACCAGGAATAATCAGCCAGACTGTAGAGATGGATGATGGAACGTGGGGGTATGTTGGCTCAAAGGTGGATCTCCGCTGTCGGTTCATCAACAGCTCCCCACCAGTCAAAGTCTCCCAGGTATTCAGTCGTCCACTTGAACACGGTCACACCCAAGATTAGATATGCGAAAAACATTTAAAAAAAAACAATTACAATTATATTCAATGCATGCCAAAATTCCTTGGAAGCATTAGCATAAACACCATCTAGTTCCCTAAACATGCTGTGATTAACTTGATTTGAGAAATAAGATGAATCCCAGTGAAGGCAAGTTCTCTACATTTTTGCCAAAGAAACCTGCTTTTGGCAAATATTTCTACTTTACTGGGATGTCAATGGTGTTTTGATGTGAGTGCATGACAGACACACAGGGAAAGAAACTGCACTGACAGCAGGGAGGGGGGATGAGAGGAGACATCCAACCTTAGCAACGTATTGTATGTCCTTACAAAACAAAAAGGTGACCTGTCCTGACAATGGCTCCATAACTGAGGCATTCACCTTCCCTTCATATTTTTCACACCTTACCAGCTTTTGGATAGGTGTTTTGCAATTAGTCTCTTCAAGTGTCTTGGCTTTTTCCTACATACGTGTCTGTATATATCTGCCTGTTAAGGGACTGTTGTCAGTTTGATGTGAAAACTACACACCACCAATAGAGATGAACCCAATTAAATTGCCAGTATCACAGTTTGGGTGTAATGAATTTTTTTTTTTTTTTTTTTTTTTTTTTTTTTTTTACAATAATGAGCCTGAGAGGGATGAGTGCTGGTAGTGGTGTAGAGCCGGCAAGGTGGGTGACTGGCTCTGGTGTCACTTGGGTGTGGGTGGAGGTGCTCCTGCTTCAGGAACAAGGCGCGGTCAGTAGACAAAAGGCACAGAGTAAAGAAAACACTTCTTCCTCCACAGGCAGGATTCCTGGCTCAGTAGCAGAGTGACTACAGTAATCCAGAGAGGCAGATACTATAACTCACAGTATTACAGGGGCAAGGCAGCAGAGAAGTCAAGAGTTCAATCCAAAAGCCTCATATTACTCAGTCTTTCAGAGACAAGGCAGGAGCGCAGTCAGATCAATCCAAAGGTCTGGTGGTGTTCATGGTCTTTCAGAGGCAAGGCTGAGACATAGTCAAAGGTCAGATGTTACTCACAGTCTTACAGGGGCGAAGCAGTGGCATAATCAAGATTTAAATCCAAAGTTCTGGTCCTGTTACACAAAGGCACAAGCACTACAGAATGGCTGGAAAGTTGAATACACAGTCAGGACAATCTGACAGCTTCTCTGAGGGATGAAGCTGCTTATAAGAGGGCATGCACAGGCGTGTTCAATCAGGACAGGTCAGGATGGTTGGTGTGATGAAGTAAAGTTACTGGAGTGAGAACAGGGTGGAACAGGAAGTGTCAGGTAAAAATAAGAGCCAGTTACCGGAAGTGGAGCTGGAGTTCAACTGTTTACATTGGCAATATAGACCTGATAATACTTTTTGCTTATTTAGAAGATACTTTAAAAACAAAAGGCATTTAGGAACAAATACATAGAAACACTGTTCAGATCTGACGCATTTGAGCATACATGTCAAATTTGATACAAATTGTCCTGGACTTTTCAATGGCAATCAATATTAAGGATCAGTGTTTCTTCCTGTTTTCAAATTCATTCAAATCCAGAATATTACGTCTTAACAATAATTTAACATTGTAAGTCCTGTAAGCTGGTTCAGTATGGTCTTGTCCATTGTGTTTATTTATTATTCAATTAAGGCAACAGATCCAGACATCTGCGGCTCATGAGACCTACAGTGGCACTACGAGCCCCCGGTTCAGACTAGACCCTGTCTTTCTCAATCATTAACCCCTTCAACTTCATCCATCCTTCTTTTTCAAGGTAACTTGGCAGAAACTGGTTAATGGCACTAAGCAGAACGTGGCGATTGCCAATCCATCCCTGGGTGTGTCCGTGGCCCCGTCTTACAGGGACCGTGTCACCTTCAAGAATGCAGCAGTGAAGCGACGAACCCCTACTCTTGAAGACACCACCATCACCTTCTCCTCTCTCCGACTATCTGATGATGCAACGTACATCTGTGAATACGCCACGTTCCCTGCGGGCAACCGAGAGAACACTGTCAACCTCACTGTCTATGGTATGACACATATGTGATGAGCTGGTCTTCAAGAAGGACAGGTGGACTGTCACTGTCTCATATTTTTTGAAGCACTATGGCTGTCGTATGAAATGTGATATACAGTATAAGAGATGATGTTAAATGTGAGCTGCAGTTTTGAAGCAATCAGAGGTGAAGATCTGTTATTCTGTTAAGTCACTGCCTGAAATGTGTATGAACCCTCTCCTGCAGCTTCAGCATCATATTTAAGGATCAGACATGAGACTGTTATTGATCTTTTCATCTAACTTTCAGCAAGAAAGTGAAGAAGTGTTTAAGGCCTGAAACAATTAGTCAGTGAATCAATTAATCAAAACAAATATACAGCATTAAACTTCTTGTTGAATGCTGTATGTTATATAAGTTAGGTAACACTGTGAAAATGTGATTTATGAACATTTTTAATTGTTTTCATTTCATCTTTTTATTTTAGATTTTCAATACTAATTATATGGGATGAGCAATAATCGGGGGGTATTTTGCATTATGTGACAATATGCATTTAAACTGTGTTTTTGTTTGCTTTTATTTCCTCAGTTCGTCCAACAACTCAGATGAGTCTGTCCACGCCAACACTGGTGGCTGGCTCATCCAGTCTGAAAACACCAGTGGCCACCTGCATCTCTGCTAATGGAAAACCTCCTGGCACCATCAGGTGTGTGGGCTGTATGTTTATGTGTAACTCAGTGAAAGACAAGCAGTGTTTTTTCTCTTCATCCTTCTTTTTACTACATGGTTTGCATAGTGACAACACTAAACCATTCTGTTTAGTGTATATGCACATACTGTATGCATCTATGTACCTCTGTTTCCTCCCTGGTGTGAGCAGGTGGGAGACGAGGGTGCCGGGAGAAGTGAGCACTCAAGAGTATAGAAACCCAGATGGGACATTCACTGTTCAGAGTGACTACATTTTGACTCCCAGCAAAGAAACACACAAGGAGACGCTCGCCTGTGTCTCGACCTACAATGAGGAGGTCTTCACTGACAGTGTCACCCTCGATATTCAGTGTAAGTCTTTTTTATACAGTATGTAACGACCACATAACTATGCAGTTTTATTTTATACAGGTTTATTTTTGTTATCGGTGTGTGCACCAGATGAACCAGATGTTTCAGTGGATGGGTTTGATGGAAACTGGTACCTGAACCGAGAGGACGTCCAGCTGAGTTGCCAAGCTGATGCCAACCCCGCGGTCTCTCTCTATCAGTGGAGACTGTGAGTACAGCTCTGGTTGTTTGATTAAAGATATTCACAACTTACTGCACTTCTTATATACAGTACAGGAAGTTGTATCTTCTGTATATTCTGTAGGATTAATGGTTCCATGCCGAGCAATGTTGAGGTCCGAGACAGCATCCTTACCTTTAAAGGACCAGTCACATATGATCTACAAGGTATCTATGTGTGCGATGCTACCAACAGCATCGGGACACGCTCGGCCTCTGTGGAGGTCAGTATTCTAGGTACGTTTACCTCACTACTGTACTTCTCCATACATGTACATTTTTTCCTGCCTGACACTTAACTGTACCTCCAAACCTATTATAAGCAAGGAACATGGTTGTTATTGTTTTCTCTGTAGACAAGCCACTACCGCAAATTGCAGCGAGTGATGTCATCAGTGTAATTGCCTTATTACTGGCCGCTGGAGTGCTCATGGGCATTACTATTACAGTCCTGGTGCTCAAAATAAGAACTAGAAAAGACGACTCTTCGTACGTAAACAGTCCAGTAGTGCTCTTTCCTTCTGTTTCACTTACATGTTTGTCCCAGAATGGTTTGTAACTCCCTGTTGTCTTTTATTTTCCTTTTCTCTTTGATCAGTAATGATTCCCCATCCAGAAAACTGTCCCAGCCCATAAGGAAAAGACCAGGAGATGATATCCAGGTATCTATCTATCTATCTATCTATCTATCTATCTATCTATCTATCTATCTATCAAAATTTGATCTATTTTTTCTTCACTCTTGCACAAATTAATTGTCATCATTATAATTATGATTAATTAAATATGTATGCTAATAGTATACTACAGTATATATAATGTACAAGAATGCATGGGGCTGGATCACAACTGCATTAATAACTGCAACCAACATTACCGCATTTTAGTACAATCTGAGTAGGATGTCAGATACTGTATATTTCCTTGTCCCACTTCCTGGTGCGACAGTACTTTAAAGGTGCCCTGTGGAGTTTTCTTATAACAAAGTTTCTGATTACACTTAGTGTTACTGACCAATACATACTGTGTACACCCTTGAGGTCAACAAATGGGGTGAAGGCATTTCCTATGTGTACTCTTTATAAGCACATACAGTATATTGGGTAATTTCTCCCCAGCATTCAGGACGGCTTTATGAAGAGCTTCCAAACACAGCGGACTATGTGAGCTACAGACTGGCCTGTAACAAGGATGACTACCCAGAGCCCTACTCTCCTCCCATCAACCCTCCTCTCTCATTTCTCCCCCAGCACCCCTACCACTCGCAACCACCTATGGTGACCAGCAGCAGCAGCAGCAGCACCACCGTGTCAAAAAACACCTTCTCCCCTCCTTCGCACACTGAAACCATCTTCAAATACCCTTCAGTACCAGGCCTGTCTTCTCCTCCCCTGGGTGTGGCAGCATATACTTTTCCCAAAGAGCAGTACGTCTGAACTGACATCATGTTACAAACTCAAACCACTCCAGTGAGCTCAGATGAAATGACCTGATTGGAAACTGAACCTGAGAGGGGGTTGGAAACATATGTTTAACCCTGGACTGTCAGGCAGTGTCTCCACTGTCTGCACCACCGTGGACAGCTGTGGAGGTCAAAGGACAATACAGCTTTTATTGCTGGACTTTCTCTCTTTTGGCTTTGGTTACTGTGTTATGTAATCTTTGAATAGAGGAACATTGTGGAAGCATGTTTTAAATGTTTGCCAGCAATTTTTGGGTTACGTTGTAGGTTACATGAAGGTCAAATAAAGATGATTTGACTTTGATTGGAATAAGATCAATTTGATTGGGAATTAACTTCAAAGTGAATGGATGGGATCAGCTCTTAATGTTCGATACAGCTGAATCCCTACATCGTGCTCTCTCGCTCTCCCTATCTCTCTCTCTCTCTGCACTGAACAAATTGACAATCCCTTTACTGAGGAGAAGCTGAACCTTTGGTTTTACCTCCTGTCCTGATATAATAATTTTCCTAGGCTTGTATTTTGTATCATTTACATTATCATTTACATTTTTCTTTACAAAGAAAACCATTTTTATATAATGAAGACATTTTGTCAAGTTATGAAATTGATGTTTTATTTGTGGTATCTATAGGTTTTAGTATTCATTGACACTGGTTGTTGGATGAACCTTGAATTTTTAGCATTTAAATAAAAACAATTGTGAAATTTGCATCAGTGGTGTACTACTCAAAAACCACACACTCTTCTACTCCTTCTTTACCCTAAATAGCAGCAATCTAAAATTGTATTCGGGTCTCATTTTCATTTAGAAGTTCACTATAAAATATGCATTAATAGCTACAAGTCTGCTACTCTAGTGGTAATTTATCAAAGACAACTCTGCTAATTGTGTTTTTAGCCTCATTGTGTTTATGGCTCACAGATTTACTGTTTGGTTCTGCTTTCCTGGTGGAAGCTATAGTTGTGCAGGCAGCTATTTTCAGTGAAAAGGCTACTTGTACGGTAACTGCAGCACCAAGCAGCAGACAGACAGCTGCTGAACACAGTGGAGCATTTAGCAGTTACAATAAAGAGACAAGTCAAATGGGGTTGGTGGTTACATTACATTTCCATCACTCTGGGATTGATGAGACCCCACTGGCCTATAATGACTCAACACATATTGTGCTCCACAACCCACTGTATCCACACATAGAAATATACAATACAAAGGCCTTTCATGCATTCTGGTATTATTTATCGTTTCTGCCAGAGACCCAGGCTGCCCTGTGTGTCTAAAGCTGCCATTGTGTACTGATGAATTCCCAGCTCTTTGGGTGGTTCATCTGTGTCCAGCTCTCATGGGGCATTCATAGACTTCTTCATCTTTGATGTTCAGCTTCCACTTCAGCAGCAGCTCTGAGCATGTCTGAGTCTTTCTCTTTCAAATGTTTCCCTTTTTCAGCTGCATTCTCATTGCACAGCAGGCTTGCAAGAAAAAAACAGGATCACTACTGTATCTGAGAGCTCAGGCTGGTGTGGCCTCCATCAACCAGTAGATACATGCGAGTCTGATAACAAAACTCCAGCTGGTATCATTCTATTTGAGATTATCACCACCTGATGATCAGCACTGAACCACAGCACTTTACTGACGTAGCCCTGCTTTACAAAAAGGAAACCCTGAGTCATTCATGATTTACAATGTGCATATGCAATAAGGTTTTGCTTTTTGTACCTTTTTCCCACTCTCTGTTAATAATAGAGAGTAGAAAATGTTACCACACAATATATCTGCAAGATACAGATCATTCATGCCTATGTAAAATATTGGTCCTATACACAGCATGTTATGGTTTTAAAGTGAATTAAATCAAAATGAAATGCACTTTACCAATGTATTCCAGTTTGATAAACTGCTGAAAAATGATCTTCATATTTTAATGTATTATTACATTCTTTTGCTTAAATGCTGAGAAACAAGAAGCTTCTCCTTCAGCCCTCGCCTCTGTCAACTGAGGAAAACTGATCTGAGTCCTGCATTCATTCATGACAAACATCTCAGGTTACATACTTGTGGTTCCACCACCTCCGCTCTTTCTCCTTTAGAAACACATAAACTCACCACTCACAAAAACAGTCTTTAAAAACAGTGAATATTTGCTATATGTGCAGGATTAACTGGAGTGTTGAGGTTACAGTGTGTTATAAGGAGCATTGCTGCGAGATGCCAGGAATGTAGTTTACTCCTAATCCCATCAGTGGAATTTACTGTGCTCTCTGCCCCAGACATGACCCCTGAAATTAAAATCTGGAGCTTTTAATTTTACAACCCAAGACCACAAGAAACAAGGCAAAGTGTTCTCATCTTGACTAAAAAGATGAATGTTTTTGCTGATCTCATCATCTCCTAAATCAATTTAAACTCTTGCTGTTTGTCTGACATATTAGATCTTGTTGTTCCCTAAGCCTGTGCTGAAACAAAGCACAAAGAAGATATAAAGAGGAAGACAACTCCTTTTTCATCCCTATTTTTTGTGCACTTCCACTCATCAGAATGTTGACACACAACACCATAGTTTGAGCAGGACAAAAAGGCTCAATCTTTGAACACCATGAATATAATAAATAAAACTTTGATTAACTCTTTGTGAGATTCACAGCAGTTTATAAGTGATTAAAGTGCAGATTTACATGAAAGTCCTGTGTGGAGGAATGTTCATGTTGAGACCCTGCATGTCACCTGTTAGTTATTGTACGTGTGTGTGTGTGTTTGTGTGTAAGGCTAACATGTCCATCCATGCAGCTGTCTTGTATAATACATGAGCTCACTGTCACCATGTTATTCTACCCAAAGAAAGAGGGACTGGGGGATAAAGAGAAAGGAAAAACACATGAATAATTGAGTCCAAATCAGTTTATCAGTCCCTTCCTCCTCTCAGTCCAGTGAAGTCAGTGGCAGCAACTGGATTCTCAGAGAAACCTCTGAACTGCTGAGTGGGAAAGACACAAATCCAGGTGGGCAGGGAAGCCTTTAGCTTTTGTGATCTCTTCTCTACTACATTTTTGGAGTAAAGAAGTTGTTGGATTCCAGATCATCATGATACCATGGTGGCCCAATTGCTAGGGCTGGCCTTTCTATTTCTACCTACCAATCTGGTCACCTTTATGACATATGGTAAGGATTTTACACTTTTATCTGAGTGGCAGTTCAAATTTGGGTTTATAAACATGACTTGACTAATTAATGAAACAAAGTTGACTTGACTAATTAATGAAACAAAGTAAGAGACTGGGCAAAAAAAGATCATTTATCAGCTTTCAGTAAAACTTGCCATACAAGTTTAAGATTTGAAGTATGGTACATGACATACTTGATACTAGAGGCTAATATTGTTGTTGATACTGTAATTTTTTCATAATAAACCAGTTGATAGTGACTGATTGGGAAGTTTTATTTTTGAAATCTAAAAACTGACACACTGCAGTGGCAATAATGGTTCTAAATTTCCTCAGACATATCTTTGGAATTTCAGAACTGTAATTTCTTGTTGCTTATTGGCCAACACATAGAGACCAAAACACCTGTCAGCTAACATTTCTATGTCTGTGCCAATGTGTATAAGACTGAAGGGAAAACAAGCTTTAGAAATGTTTAGTATTGTCTGATGTAATGCACAACAGCGGGACACGATTTGCTGCACTAAAAGTCAGTTTCATTATTTGATATGTAATTTTGCATACTAGGATAGGAATACTAGGAAAACATTTATACAATATTGTGACATTTGTTTCAGCCATAACTACTGAGCACAGAGTGTGTGAACAAAAAGTAAACAGCTAAGGAAGCAAAAAAAAAAATTGGGTGATTAATTGGATGTGGGTGGAAAAATAATTTGACTAATAAAGTTTTAAAATCCCTTGCATATAAAACTTGCCGTGCACTCAGTACTGCAACTGGACCCTGGCAGGGCACACGACACCACCATCTCCTTTTCATTAACACGCACACACTCATTTTTGCATGCCTCTCTGTGTGTATCTTCTCCCTTCTCCAGCGGTGCAGATCAATTACACCGGGGAGGTGGTGTACCAGGACACCAGTGTGTATGGGGTGGTTGGCAAAGCTGTGATCCTGGAGTGCGGTGCCACCTTACCTGACATGTACATATGGAGCTTCACCAAGCCTGGCACTGAAGCTATAAAAGCTGTGGTGTATGACTTAGGCCAAGGGCCTAAGATCCAGAAGCTGGCTGAGACACTTGGACAGTTTACGTCCATCTCAAACAGTGCAGCTGTGAACATCGAGAAACTGGCTCTAGCTGCGGATGGTCTGTTCACATGCCAGGCCTTCTATGACATAGAACGGGAGCCCAAAGTGTACTACTACTATGTGCACCTCACTGTCAGAGGTAAGACTTCACTTAACCTTCTTGCTGGATAAAGACAGGCACAGAAGGGCAATGCAGTGAGTTATAGGGTTCGACCCTAGTGTAGCCAGCTGTGGCACTGCTTTCTTGATGTCATATGAATACCTACACCTTAAATCAGAATGTGAGCAAACATGTTACCTTTCAAATTACATTTAGTCCGTCTCTCAGCTTGGGGCTCTGTGGCCCAGGCTGCAAGCATAACATTAATAATATGAATGGTCTGCAGACACAAATACTCTTGCTGAATGTTCATTATTTGCATTGGAGACAATAAACATACCTTATGTGTGTCCTTGTCTTGAATACAGTTCCAGTTAGTAAACCTTACCTCCTGATGAGTGATGTATCTCCAGTGGAAGGGTCTACAATGGTGATGCACTGCAATCTGGAAAATGGGACAGGGCCAATCCAGTATGTTTGGCAGCATGAAACCCGCAGTGGCAACATCTCAACCTTTGCACAGAGCAACACCAGTGCAATCAACGTGACAAATGTGAACCGCAACCACACTGGCTGGTTCCTCTGCATGGCCAGTAACGCCGTCAACAGTGAGAGCTCTAACCGGCTGTGGCTGGACATCATTTGTGAGTAATTCTGGGGAGTTGAGGTAGACTTGGGTTTCCTAACTTTATATTTTTTATACAACAAAATACTTGGCAACACTGAGATCAGTCACCACCGCCAAAGTTTTTTCTCTCAACATTGAAACCTGCGGCTCTAAAAATAAGTCTTAATATTACAAGTTGCTGAACGTGACAATGGCCAGTGTTGTGGTTGATTCACTAAACCTCGAGTCCGAATCGTGTCTCAAGTCCCTGGTGTTCGAGTCTGAGTCAAGTCCTCTGAGTCACCACAAAATAATCTGAGTTGATTTTATTTCAAGTAGAGTCCCTGTTACCAGAGTCAGAGTCATCAAGGTCTACCCTGAACACAGCTAGCACAGCTCTCACCATTTTATATTCCAAACTTTCCGTGTAGTGCATCACCGCATTGCTCAGCAATTTGATACATGTGTGCCAGATACAGCATGGTGAGGGTCAACGAGGTTTTAATATCAATATCTTAATCCAAATTATTATTGCCTATTATAAAAAAAAGTCAACTTCCAAGTCTAAATGCA